ACAGGATGGGGTAGTTGGCGGTGATCCAAACGCATTAAGTCCGGACACGCCAACCAACGAAGTCTGGTTCTAAGTTAGATTAGCGGTGACGTCGTCTGTACCGGTGGCAGCTACTCACGCGTATATGGAAAAGTGTTACTCGCTAAATGGATCGGAAGTAGCCAAGTAGAGGAATCCATGGCCTTTGAACCCGCCCACGGATTCTATTTCAGACCAAAAAATAGGTTCGAAGTTTAATAAATCTAATAGTTGATCGGTTCTAACCTGAATCTAATATCTTTTCAAAGAAGGTTTGAATTTATTCTCAAACACTTTATGCAGCCCGAAATTTGACCCATGAATCGGCCCACAAAAACTGAGCCCTCAGCCCATGAGTTTGTTCGCCAGCATAGCCCAACTCGCCCACTTAGCCTGTTTGTCTTTTCACTCAATTATTGGAAATAAATTTATTATTAAAACTTTAAAAATTTAGTGGTAATATATGATTCTAATTTATTTAAATAAAGTTATTCATTATTTATTTTTTTTCAATTTTAACTCTACTGCTTTAATTCAAAAATGTAATTTAAAAAAATATTAAGTTAAAAATATTTTAAATGAAATTATATATATATAAAAGACTGTCCAACAAGGCCCATAAAGCCCACCTAGTTAATGATGGGTTGCGCAATAGGTGGCTTATTTCTACCGGAAGTCCCGTCCGGCCCACCCGATAACTTATATGAATAAGGGTTTCGATTTACGCTATCCAACCTGACTTGAAAAAAATATTGCAAGCTTAGCCCTACTTGCCCCATGGACACCCCTATATCCAAGGTATAGCTCAAGTTGCAATAAAGACAAACTTTAAATTTAGAGGTATTATGAGTTTGAATCTAAATAATTCTTTGAGATAAAGTCACAAAATAATTGATCTCTCATGAATATCTTTAATTTCGACATGAATGATATGTCTTTGATTAGATAAAAAAAAATTTAATCAAAATGTGTGTAATTTGGTTCGAATATCTTTTATCGTTGAATCTGAAAAAAAAAAAAAAAAAGGATCTGCAAGTGTTAAACTAGGGTAGATTAGAGAATTAAAAAATAAAAAATTAATCCTTGTGGTAACAAGTACGAGCTTAAACTCAAATATCTGGAGTTTGAATTTTAGCAATTATTTGAAGTCAGGTTATAAAAAATTTATTTCTCATGAATAACTTCCTTTCGCTATAGACGATGTGATTTTGACAAAATCAAAATAAAAGATTAATCGAAACGCGTATAAATTAATTCAAACAATTCTAACCAAACCACGTTATTTACAATCTTTCTGGGACATCGTACTAAGCTGTCTGAATTCACCCCTCCATCAAACAAAGAAAGCTTCTGATGCCCACACCCGGAAAAAGGGGCAATCGACCCACCAAAATTAATTCCTTGGATTAACTACACACGAGTTTTGCTTAATAGACGATTATCAGGTCCCTTCAGATGGTATGGGCCCGACTCGTTAATTCCAGAACATAACCGTTAGTAGGCTGGACCCAGCCCACTTCTTGATGGCAACGAGTTTTATCACTGATCCATATCGGCCCTAGCCCACCTAGAAAGTCGGGCTATTGGGTTGAGCTACGGTCCGTGTTTTTATCCGAATTTCAAGTTTAGCATGAACAAGATCATTTATAAACCTTATAGAAGCAGATATTTACTTGTTGGTCTCCATAAATGATTTCTCCTGTGATCGGTGGATTCAATCTATTTACAGAGATTTCAAAAAAATATTTTTTTGTTGTTAGGTTTAATTGCCTTGTCTTAAAACTTCCTTTGATAATTACAATCGATAGATTTAAAACAAGTAAAATGACAATAAAAATATTAAAAAAAAAGAAGACATTTTTATTAATCTTGAAGATTCGCATATAATAGATTGATGAAACATTCTCTAAAACTAATTCCTAATTCTAAAGCTATCTTAAAACTACTCTTAAAATGTCCAAGTCATGAGTCTTTGATGAGTTTGATCGTGTCTCTTCTCTGTACCTAAATGGCTCTTTTATAAGGTGTTTTCATCGACAGTTATACTAACTTCTTCAAGGCAATTCTCCTTAGGCTCTTTCTTATTTTATTTATTGCTTTTTGAATTCCTAGAGCCCATTGATTATTAGTAACTATAGTCTTTTCAAATTTCAAGATAACCACTTCATTCCCTCCATAGTAAGGGTTATAATTGTTCTTAAATTTGAACAGNCAGTTATACTAACTTCTTCAAGGCAATTCTCCTTAGACTCTTTCTTATTTTATTTATTGCTTTTTGAATTCCTAGAGCCCATTGATTATTGGTAACTATAGTCTTTTCAAATTTCAAGATAACCACTTCATTCCCTCCATAGTAAGGGTTATAATTGTTCTTAAATTTGAACAGACCACACCGATAACACTGTATATCCATTTTAAATTAAAAGAATGTTGCGTGACAATTCTCCTTGACTAACTTGTTCATTGAACAAGTATCGTGCATCGCAGTTCACCAAAAAATATAAAATTTAGTCCAAACTTTACTATTAACAATACAAGATAAATCTTTGTTGTGCCAAGTCGTATTTAGAATGACTCATTCGGTTAGCCTAGTGGACAGACCAGCGATCAACANAATATAAAATTTAGTCCAAACTTTACTATTAACAATACAAGATAAATCTTTGTTGTGCCATTTTTGAGTCGTATTTAGAATGACTCATTCGGTTAGCCTAGTGGACAGACCAGCGATCAACAGTATTGGACCAGGCCTAACCTAACTAGGCTGGACCCATAACCCTGATTTCAGCATGGACCATTGACGAAAGAATTTGGGCTGACCCAGTCAGTTGTGACCCTTAAAAAGTGTTATGAACAATATGCCAACACAATGAGCTGATTTAAGGTCGAAAGAAAGGATGCGTCGAGCTAATCATGTGAACTACTTTTTTGTTTTTTTAGGGGAAAATCATAGCAGTCGACCTAATAGTGTGAATAACTTTTTCTTTTCCACCATAGCACCTTTTGAAATCAAGAATGTAACACAAAACCCGAATACATATCAAATCATAGTAATTATAATGATACAAACTGATGATGCACAAAAATGGTTTTGTACACCACCTGTCAAGTATAGATAATAAATGCAATGAAATCAATGAGAAAATTAAAGAAGACACAATTTATAGTGGTTCGGTCAATTCGANTTTTGGCCGACAAAGTAGCATCCTTTAGAGGGTGCTCTCCAGCTTAGGCCGCCAATTAGGGATGTCAGTAAGACCGAAGCGGGGGCGGGGAGTATAGTTTTTATCTCCGTACTCACTTAAAAAAATTCTGTCCATCCTTGGTCCACCTCCGTTAACGGGTATAATTTTCATCCCTATTTTCGTCCACGGATAAATTTTTAATCCCTGTCCCCGCTTTCCCATACCCGCTTAAGCTCAAGCCCAAGTAACATAATCCAAAATTCTAAATAAATATAATATTTTTAAATAATCCAACAACATTCTAAATAATCTAATGAATAATCTAGATTACAAAATGTAAAGGCCAAAACAATATAGTATTCTGTTTAAAATGTCATTGGACCACAAAAAGAGAAACGAAACTATTAGAGATAAATGAAGAAAAGAAAAATAAAATTGAACTAAGAAAACGATAACACTACACTTGAAGTTTCCTAAAAGAATTTTTATTATTACAATTCATATTACAGCCATAAAATGTTAAAAGATGAAAACTTAAAATTTCTCTAATTCAATAATTCTCTCAATTTCTTAGTTCACTCTAATAGAAAAACTCATCAATCTCCATTCACAATATTTCTATCCACAATGAAATGCAAAACTATCTTACTCTCTCTTATCTGTTTTTAGAGCATGGTTAATCCAAACTCCTAATAGTTTCAATCAGTGAACACAAATAGAAAAAAGAATAATCAGGAAAAAAAATTGATAAGATTATCACATAGCAATGTCACTTGTTAGTTTGATTACTATATTTCTATATTAGTAGTGATAGTAAATATATTTAGTTAAGGCATGCGAGTATATATATATAACGGGTAGCGGGGGNAATTGATAAAATTATCACATAGCAATGTCACTTGTTAGTTTGATTACTATATTTCTATATTAGTAAATATATTTAGTTAAGGCATGCGAGTATATATATATAACGGGTAGCGGGGGCGGAGAAGGGAGGGGCGGGGGTAAGGGTAAGTTCATCCCCGCCTTCAACCTCGTACAGGTTTATACGGGTATTCTTGTATACGTCCACCATTCAATACGTATAATTCATCCCCGGTCCAAGCGGAACGAATTTGAACGAATACTCATTTTTTTCCGGTCCACTGTCATCCCTACCGCTAACCTCTTTTCACTTGGCCGAAATCTCACCCCACACGTGGCTCTGTTGTGGCCCTCTAAAAAAAGGTGCACATGAATGCACCCTCGACACATGTTATCATGATGTGAGGAAGCACATAAAAAAATGAGATTAAATTACAGAACTATAATATGTTAATTATCATAATAATTTTATATTAGAGTTGTCAAAAGTTTTATTGATTTACGAAGACTATTGAATCAATTGGAAGAAAAGAGAAATCTCTTTACATTTATTCCGACAAAAATAAAATTAATGATTTAGTCTTAGACATATTTTAAATATTAAATAAATACCCCAAATCGTAGGATAGAATATAAAAGTACCTAAAAAATAGTCTAAACGTCATTTTAAATGAGGGGTAGAAATACTTTCAATCTTACTCGGCTCGTCAATAGTTTATCGAAATAAAATTTTAATAAATTTTTTAACACTGTCATCCAAAATTAGTTTTAATTGATGTCTGATCAATTTTACTTTGGATGGTCTTGATCCGTCGTGTAATCATGTGCTGAACATGCTGCATCACATCAGCCACGAACACCTAATCTCACCCTACTAAATGTGGGGCTGCAAATCCAATTTTCTCGTCCAAAGGCAAGAATCTCATATCCAAGCAAAGCCAAAAAAAAGACAGATATTTCACTGTTCAAAAGTCTGTTGTCCTTGTTAACTAGAACTCATTCAATCCAATTCATCAACGGAAACATTTCAAAATGCAAAGTTCTGAATGAACCTATATCTGAGAGAGAGAGACTTAGAGGGAGAAAATTCCTTCATACAAAATGAACAACCCAATATTGAATGAAAATGGAGGCATCACTTGTACATATATTCCCGGGATGACCATGGAGGGCAAGGGTTAGAGCATAAGTAAAAATGTAACCCTTTCTTTTATTTTTTTCCTTGTTTTTGGTGGGGAGAAGGGGGGGAGGCATATGCTTATGTCATCACATTCAGAAGGACCCATGCTGCTTTTAGGGAGTAGATACTTTCCAAAATTTGGCTGGAAGTCCAAGCAGAGGAATTGGGAATGGGCCATATTGAATTCCACTTTGAGATCCCACCACTTCCCACCTGCAACCATACCACCATCAACATGGAAACAAAACACCCTTGTCAATTTGATAGTTCCCCTTAGTTACTCTCCTAGCTGCAGCAATTCAAATTCCTTATGGCTATTTTTTATTCTGTGTCGTTTTTGGAAGAAAAAAAAAGGACCATCTAGTGCACGAATATCCGATGGTTTTTATGTTGAAAATGCGATTCAAAATTGGGTCCTAGGATTAAGCTAGTGGCATTAGTATTGTGTTTGTGTACCATTTAGAGTAGAGGGTAGCAGTTAGAATTCTGCCTATTGTGAAGTTTTGTGCTGTGTTTGTGGAAGAAATTGTATCAGATATTACCACCCTGATTGTTTCAATTTCAGGATCATACCTGAACTTAGTGACAAGGTGGTGGACCATAGTGAACATCTCCAGCTTCGCGAGCTCGTTCCCGGGGCAGGCATGTACTCCACTGCCAAAGGGCATGAAAGTATAGGGCTTTGGTTTAACCTACATACACCAGGATAAAATTTAGGATGCAGTTAAGCAAAACTTTTCAATTCCCCAATTTCAAAAAAAATAAAAGACTATCCATCTGAAGTCATACCTCAAATCTCGAAGGATCAAATTTCTGGGGATCAGCAAAGAAATCTGGATTATGATGAATATTTCTGAATAAAGGCATGACTTTCCATCCTTTTGGAATTAGGTACCCTGTGACAGTTTTGAAACATTGATTCTCTCAAAAATCCTAGTTATGGAAGAAAGATCAGGGGTTTGTCAGGGAAGACTAACATTTGGGCAAGCTGGTTTTCATTTACATTGGTGGATCGCCAACGATATACGATGGGTGATCAAGCATTAAGAGAAAATTGAGAAAAAAAATATTGGAGGCAATTCAAATCCGTTCTCACCTTTGTATTCTACATCAGCCACTGCCTCTCTAAATATGAAAGATATAATGCTTGCCATTCTCAAGCTCTCTTGTATAACCTGAGAAACTCCATTGTTAGTAATTCATCCAAAATACATACTTGCATGTAGGCGTGTGAACCGTGTTGGGTTAAGAGTGTTCATGTCGTGTCTAATTGGGTTTGTGTAAACAATCATTCAACTTGTATACGATTCGTTTAATTAGACGAGTGAAAATCTACATACAATCCATGATTCATTTATTAAATGGGTTATCGAAAATGACTCATTTAATTCGTTTAATAAACTTTTTTATTATGACAATAAAAAATAATCATTAAACTTTTTTTAACTTATCTAATTATGAAATTGCATATATTATTATGACTTAAATAAATAAATAATTATTATTTTATTAATTTTATTTAAATGGGTTTAGCGGGTTCACCCGCTTATCACCCGCACCTATTAAAATCTCACTCAAACCCCTTAACTCCACGTCGATTCATGTCTACTAATCAGTGTCGTGTTGCATTTTGTCGCATTTTGACTGGTCTATTTGCAAGGCCATCAAGGAAATGCCCATAGGCTTTGGTAATAAACAACAACATACCCTGTAAGTGATTGGCATATTTCTTGTCTGATTCCAAGTCAATTGTTGATGCCCTTCTCTATTTGATTGGTAAATTGCCTTCTGTTCAGCCTGCAAATACATTATAACCATTCAATTGGTGATCACAAATGTCTCTCTCTCTCTCATTGAATTCAAGATCAAGACAAGAAATTTCTCCATGAAAATGAAATGGCATCTTCTATATCTTACCTTTACAGCCTCCAGAAGTTTCGAATCATCGTAGAGGTACCTGAGAATCCATGTCATGACACTGGCAGTGGTGTCCTGAGCAGCGAAAAGAACTCCGATTATGTTGTCTGAAATTTGATCTTCATTTAGGAATTCACCCTTATCGTCCTTTGAGTCCAAGAGACTATCCAAGAGGTCCTTCCCTATTGACCTGTATTCCTTCCTCTCACCTATAATCCCACTCAAAATCTTACTTAGCCTCTTCCTTGCCTTCATGATAATTCACCAAACCATAAAGAATAGAGAGTCAGTTCAATGGCACTGTAAAAAATACAAGTCAAACAAACTATACACACACACACTCATAATTACCAATTGGGCCTTTTTGTATGGAGTTCCTGGTAAGTTTGTGGGAAAAGAATTGTATCCTCTCTCCACTATGCTGTAGTTTTTCTTCAGATCTTCTCTTTGATGAGGCTCCAAATGGCCAAGTATGGCGTGTATGCCAACTTCAAAAGAGAACTACAATGGCACAAGGAGACCAATAGCAAAAGTTAGAATTTTAAAAGGACCCATTTAGTAAAACAATGAAACAAAGACAAGTACTTAGGGTGATCAACCTATTTGGGAAAGCCAATGAAGGCAGCATGGTTGAAACGACTGAAACGTTTTGCTTTTGACAGAAACCAAAGACGGGAAATAAAAAATTCTATGTTTTGTAATGTTTCTATCAAGAAACCTCAAACAATATGCCAAAAGCCCCAGGACTCATTGATTGTGTTAGATCAAAACTCTTAAACTCGAGTTCCGTATCTCGAGACAAATAGCATAATGAAGGTAAAAAGGAGCCATTGCTTAAGGGAATCATTTAGTAAAAAGATGAAACAAAGACAAGTACTTAGGGTGATCAACCTCTTTTACAAAGCGAATGAAGGTGGTGTAACGGTTGAAACGGCTGAAACATTTTGCCTTTGATAGAAACCAAAGATGAGAAATAAAAAATTCTATGTTTTGGGATGTTTCTATCACGAACCTTGACCAATACGCCATACCTCGAGTGAGCCACACCTAGGTCCCATACTAGGCCCCAGCCAGGATCCTAACGGTTCCTGAATTTCTTGAATGTAAATGAAAACTATGCACTATAGTAGTATAGTAAAAATAAAAGAAAATTATTTATTATGAGAGAAACCAACCTTTTTCATCTCATGAAATGTGTTAATGACATGGCCCCCAGCCCAGGAGTCCAAGGCAGAGATGGCCATGGCTTCAATATCAGCCACTAGGTTACGAAGAGCCTCCGGTGACAATGAGGCCTGCACCAGCTTCCTCATGCGAATATGGTAGTCCCCTTGGTGGAAAAACAGTGCCGATGGGCCAATCAAGCTTTCTTTACTTTTCGGATACGTAGGCTTGAATAAGTGAGTTTGAGTGACTAAGACGAACCGAGCTGCCTCAGGACTTGTTAACATGACGCAAGGGCAACCAAGTACATGAGTCTTGAAAATTTCGCCATACCTGAAAAATCAGTTCCATTACGTTCATAATTGCGCACTAAATGAGGAAAGGAAAAAAAAATAGAATTAGTTTCCGTCGCTAAGGTTTTTCCCAGACGAGGTTACACGTATTCAAGTCATCGTTAAAAGTTCTTTGCGACCAAAAGTACACTTTTAGCTACGAATTTAGTGTGTGTTTTTTGGAAAGTGCAATTAGAGGTTTATGAAATAAATGCAAGTGAAGAGACAAGTGACCTTCTCTGTTTGGAGGCAAAGAAGACAGTTGGGTCTTGAGAGTAAAGTTGAAGGGTCTCTCCTACAAGAGGCCACCCCATTGAACCCGGAGGGAGCTTAGCTCTTTTCTGTGGCTTTCTCTTGTTTCTTCTAAGGAAGATATAGGAGAGTAAAGTGTCTAGAATGACAAGAACATAGTAAAAGACTCCACTCTTCTCCATCTCTCTCTCTCAATCAAGAAGGTGATTAGATTGAGTTATGTTGTAGTAAATGAATATGAGACATAGAGAATGGAAGATGGTGGGGGTTTATATTGAGAGAAATTGGTGGAGAGAGAAAAGGACATGATGACGGATGCTATCCCTCGTTTGTCGTAATATTCATAGTCATCCCAGAATTAATCCACTGTTAAGTTTTGTTTCTGGTGGTTTAGTAAACCCATTCAAATTTGTCCTAATCTTTCCAAATCAACTCAGATTTTCCATTTTTTTTCCCATGGGACAGACAAGAAGAAACTGAGAATTCCTTTTGTAGTCCCCATTTCACCTTTATCTTCTGTCAATACGTATATTTTCCAAAGATCTAGACTAGTGTGGTTTTCAAGTTATCTCCTTAAACAATTGAACAATTTTTTTTTTAAAAAAAAATTCAGTGTACGAGGCTCCCGCGAGATAAATAATTGCCAAAAAAAATTATCGCCAGAAACCGGTTTTCCACTTCAAGTTTACATGTCCTTCCAATCNTAAAAAAAAAATTCAATGTGCGAGGCTCCCGCGAGATAAATAATTGCCAAAAAAAATTATCGCCAGAAACCGGTTTNTTAAAAAAAAATTCAGTGTACGAGGCTCCCGCGAGATAAATAATTGCCAAAAAAAATTATCGCCAGAAACCGGTTTTCCACTTCAAGTTTACATGTCCTTCCAATCCCACCCACAAAACCTCCAGAACAGAAACCCAAAACTGATGACAAAAATAAAAAGAAAACCCAATAAAAGTTATAGCACAAAATTTATTCTGTCGGTGTGCTATCAAATACAAGACTACATGTGGCCGAAAGGGGAAAATTTTTCACTTGGTTTTTCTTTTTAATTATAGGGTGTTTAAGTTTATGCCTACTAATCTCTTAAGTTTAATGGTTGGCCGCCAATACTTGAGCTTGATTAGAGCAGGATAAAAGTGAGAAAAAATTAAATTTAAAATCTTTAGAATACCAGACACCAGACTCAACNCCGTCGGTGTGCTATCAAATACAAGACTACATGTGGCCGAAAGGGGAAAATTTTTTCACTTGGTTTTTCTTTTTAATTATAGGGTGTTTAAGTTTATACCGATTAATCTCTTAAGTTTAACGGTTGGCCGCCAATACTTGGGCTAGATTAGAGCAGGACAAAAGTGAGAAAAAATTAAATTTAAAATCTTTAGAATACCAGACACCAGACTCAACTGTGGAACCATTCTAAAAATTTATTTTTCACTTGGTTTAACACACTACTATCATGTGGTGGATATTACCAATAAAAAATTGTACACGTCTGATGACTAGATGTCATTTATCACCATTGTCAGGTTTTTTTTAAAAATCCAACTCTTTTATTAAATATTACTGAAAGCACTGACTTAGTCTGCCCTTTGAATTTTTTTTATTCTAACACGGCCTAGTTTGTTTAATGATATTTCATTTCTAGTACCTTTAAAAATTGGCGCCANAATAGATGTCATTTATCACCATTGTCAGATTTTTTTGAAAAATCCAACTCTTTTATTAAATATTACTGAAAGCACTGACTTGGTCTGCCCTTTGAAATTTTTTTATTCTAACACGGCCTAGTTTGTTTAATGATATTTCATTTCTAGTACCTTTAAAAATTGGCGCCAGTGAATATCCAAATCCTGATTATGCTTTGTTCAATGGTCCAACATTTGAACAGTGATGAATCTAGGGAGACACAACATTTGACCATAATGTATAAAGTGATCCGTTTTATTTGAAAGAATTTCACCTAAAATTTCGTTCTATTTCATTGAAGACTCTATTAAAAAGATCATCGAAAGAAATCTTCTACCATCAAAGTCAACATAAGGATCGATATCTTTGTCAGTGAGATTGTGATCACAAAAAAATTAACCTCGACTAGCCAATTAAGGGCAAACATGATAGTTGAGATGAACGATTATATGAAGCAAGTTTTTAAGGAATAACCCACGTAACAACTTAACAAAGACTTATTTTCTTTTTTCTTTATTTTTTTATTTTCCCTCGGGTTTCAAAAGAGAGCAAATAAAAAACTTCTTGAAATGTTAATGTACTTTTCACATGATTATATATTTTCATTATCTATGGAGGAACACTGTGACAGAAGAGACAGAACAAACAATGTGTTCTTGATTCTACTAGAATTGTAGTGAACAATAATAATTGAAATCAAATGANAGACAATGTATTATTGATTCTACTAGAATTGTAGTGAACAATAATAATTGAAATCAAATGAGGGAAGTTACACTAAATTAATGTGCGTTGCAAAATCATTCATATCAAATCAATCAAATGATAGAGCTTATAAGGTTGGACATTTCTAGCACTTTGTAGTTGAAATGGCGATTTTTTAAAACTTTTATTTGGTTGTTATGAGAATATGGCACCGGCCTCTTGATTGATTCATTGCCAAGAAAATGCTAGAGTTTTCGATTCATTTGACATTGCTTTAGTTTCGCAAACAAAAGTCAATGATTTTGTATCAAACTCTACTATTAAATAGAATTTCTGCTATTCCATTATATAATCGGTTCTTATCAAGTTGAAAAAATTCGATATTATTAGTCAAGTGCTAATGCCCTATCTCCCTTTCTTGCTCATTAGCTCTTTATTTTGATTGCAACTAGTGCGTCTCTTTTCTTTTCTTTGTCAAAGTTGAGTTTCTCGCTTATTAATCAAGTTTTCAAATTCCCACTTTATTTTGGGAAATTTGAAGAAGTGCGAATATGGACTAACTATATGAAGCTCTCAACACCTCCCTCTCCCACCCGGCAGAAGCATAGTATACAATTAAGTGCATCTATATGCACACATAGACATGACCTTGAGGCATCACCATACGTTAATTACTCCAAAAACTTAAGTTACTAGCTAAAGAAGGAACTTACGATGTATATCAAACTCTAAGAACAAGAGTCACCCACAAAATATGTAATATAAAACAAAATCTATCCAAGAATGGTCCAAGGATTAAATCCCAAGTTTTAGCAAACTCTTTAACAAGTTTTTACCATATAGATGTGTGAATATATTCGAGTTGGAATTGAAAAAAATGAATGTCAACAGGGGATGAATTTTTTTTTTTGGATCAACAATCAGGGATGTTTGGGTCAGTTTAAGTGCACTTATGCTTTTTTCTATCCATTCAAAGGTAAGTCATTCATGTCAGGATTAGGGTATTCATGAAAGATAAATCTCTTATAATCTAACTCTAAAAAATTATCAAAATTAGAACTTAAGACGTCTAAGTATACAATTCGTCTCTGTTTTTACTTGAACTATCCCTTGGAATTCAACAGGTGATGATCACACTCTATAGTAAAATTTTAGGAGATTTTTACTTTTTATTACATTTGCACCCCTAAAATGAACGGTTAGAAAACACCTACCATATTGTTTGCTTATTGTACACGTGCTGGATAATGGGTTGAGGGTCCATTTTAATTACATACAACATTTTTTGGTGTGTTTAAGAACAAATCGTTAGTTTAATAGTTTCAACATGATGAGAACAAATAACAAAACACAACAAAATACATAGTATTATGGTTTTGTTCGAAAACTAATTGTGCACACATATATACTTTTCAGAAACCCAATTTCTCGATTAAATCAAATTTACCGAAAAACTAGTAACCTATATTTAAGGTCGGCTTTTAGCCTTGCTCTAGATTTCATAAGCTAAACTTTTTTTGCAGAGATTCAAATAAATGCATTAAATGCATGAGTTATGGTAACCACGCCACATCCCTGCAAAGCAGGGGCATTTCAGAGTTTTCCGAATTTCAAGTCAAAATAATCCAAAGAGTTTTAATGTTTAATCCTGTTTGAATCAGAACATAAAACTATCTCCTCCACAACAAAGGAGCACAACATCTTGAAAGCATTCAAAGTGAGCCTACAAACGTTACGCACATGTGTCTACATGTACTTTAGAATGTGAAATCATGAAAAAAAAAAAAGTAAAGGAAATAGTTCACCATTAGAATATGATTTTCGTTGAATTAATAGTGAGCTTTAATATTAGATGAAATTCGCCGACAGTTTTAAAAAATTGTATAAGTAAAAGTTGTTCATCCCTAAATACAAATGCACAAAATAATCCATAAATAATAAGTTTTTCGCATTTTGCATTTTAAAAGATTTTAAGTTTTTTATTTTGTACCCTCAAAGATTAAATTTTTCACATTATACTCTGAATGTATAAAAAATATTGTAATGTAACCCTTCTATTAATTTTTATTATTTTTTCTGTCAAAAATCAACACACTAACACTGGCGAAAAATCTAACATAATGACTACATTGCAATACTTTTGATATACTGAAGGTACAATGTAAAAAATTTAATCTTTAAGAATATAAAATTTTAAATTTTAAATCTTTTACAGTGCAAATTGAAATTCGTCCTTAATAACATAATAAAATTTTGGCACACCATAAAAAGTTATACAAGCCAAAAGTAAATAAAGATTATTAGTCAAAAGTGATAAAGAAGACTATAAAAAAAAAAGTGATTAAGAATCTTGACAACTGGACAAAAAACAAGTTGGATAAGATACGGTCGGTACATGACATCATGAATCGTTGCACAATTGATGACTTTATTAAATATTTTTTAAAACAAAAATAATTCTGTTAAGAAAATAAAATCATATTTGACGATATCATATAAAAAATAAAACCCACATGAATTTTAGTATATAAATAATAAAATTATGTGCATATATTCATTACTATACATGCGTTTAAATTCAGAGAAAACGAAATAAGAAAAAAATTATAAAATGAGACCAACATTAAAATCTAGGTAATGTAAGGTGTAAGTTTGAGACTCTTAAATTTAATTGTTTATAATGTAAAATATTCATACTTATTATCACGATTTGGTAGTTGTTACTTTTTTTTTTTCTCCTGTTTGACAAATTTGCATAAGATTTTCACGCAAAGTTCACGTTCTTATGGAACGTTAGATTGAGGTTTCAAAGCCAGAAATTAGCA